TCATTTAAAATAAATGCTTTCTCCATCCTGGATCATGAAGATGTGATCATTTGTGAAAGATGTTACAACCAGAATGGTTTGGGGGGAATAGCTTTATTTACCCTAACCAATTTATCATAGGTTGGGTGTAGAGGTTTCAGTCATAGAATTGAAACTTGGTAAGTGTTTAGAGTTATTAGAGTCATTAGAGTTCTTCCACAGTTAAGTCCCCAAAACAGGTATCATTGCTGAGGGGAAAAAAGCAGGTTAAATTTAAAGATCATTATTTCCTTGTCTTAAATAAAAATTAAACCAGGAAAATTCAGTTAAAGCCTATTTATTACTATAACTTCTTGAATTACCTAAATATCCCAATCCTCTATAATTAACAAACTTCAATATATTTTATAAAACTGTTTCTTAAAGTTTATGTAAATAGTTTATATGATTTGTTTTTCTTTTCATAGCCTGGTTCACCGGGACCTGTAATTCCTGTTCAACCACATGGGAAAATACTCACAAAATCAGATTCCCAGTGGGAGGCAACAGGTATTGTGGCAGAAGCTGAGAATGGTGTTCACCTGAAAACAGAACTCCAACAAAAACAGCTATTAAATAATACCCAAGCACTTTCAAAGAATCATCCTCCTCAGCCACTTGCTCGTAATTCATCTGAGCAGCTTTCACAAAAGCTGTCCTCTGCACCAGTGAAGTTGCACTGTCCTCCATCACCTCATGTAGAAAACCCTCCAAAGTCATCTACGCCTCATACCCCTGTCCAGCACGGTTATCTTTCACCAAAGCCTCCTTCACAGCAGTTAGGATCTCCCTACCGGCCTCACCATTCACAGTCACCTCAAGTTGGAACACCTCAGCGAGAGCCTCAGAGGAACTTTTATCCAGCAGCACAGAACCTTCAAGCCAACACTCAGCAGGCAACTTCCGGAGCGTTATTTACACAGACACCCTCAGGACAATCTTCGGCAACCTATAGTCCGTTTAACCAACAAAGTCTGAACAACACAGCACCACCCCCTCCACCCCCTCCGCCTCCTTCTTCTTCCTATTATCAAAACCAGCAGCCCTCTGCAAACTTTCAGAATTATAATCAGCTTAAAGGTAGTCTTTCCCAACAAACTGTGTTTACATCAGGACCAAATCAAGCACTTCCTGGCACCACAAGCCAGCAAACAGTTCCAGGACACCATGTCACTCCAGGGCATTTTTTGCCTTCTCAGAACCCTACTATTCACCATCCAACTTCCGCTGCTGTTGTCCCACCCCCTCCTCCACCTCCACCTGCTCCAGGACCACACCTTGTACAACAGCCAAGTTCCCATCAGCAACACTCTGTAGCACATGTAGTAGGGCCTGTTCATGCTGTCACCCCTGGGTCACATATTCATGCTCAAGCTGCTGGACACCATTTGCCACCACCCCCTCCACCTCCTGGTCCTGCCCCTCATCACCATCCACCACCCCATCCTTCCACAGGACTCCAAGGTCTACAAGCACAACACCAGCATGTTGTAAATTCAGCACCACCCCCCCCACCACCTCCTCCGCCTTCCAGTGTTTTGGCTTCTGGGCATCATACCACATCAGCTCAAGCCTTACACCATCCACCTCATCAAGGACCTCCACTTTTTCCTTCAAGTGCTCATCCAGCTGTACCACCGTATCCCTCACAGGCTACACATCACACCACTTTGGGACCGGGAGCCCAACACCAGCCTTCTGGAACAGGGCCACATTGTCCATTACCAGTCGCAGGTCCTCATCTCCAGCCCCAAGGACCAAACAGTATTCCAACACCTGCTTCAGGGTTCTGTCCTCATCCTGGCTCTGTGGCTCTGCCACATGGGGTTCAAGGACCTCAGCAGGCATCTCCAGTGCCTGGACAGATTCCAGTTCACAGAGCACAGGTGCCACCAACATTTCAGAACAATTACCATGGTTCAGGGTGGCATTAAAATGGACTCCCAAAAACATTTTTTAAAAATGTTCCTGTAAGATAAACTGTATATTTCATATGTACCTGTTAAGGTACTTTTTAAAGCTTGTACATGAAACTTTGTATTAAAACAAATGAAAAACAAACACCAGTGCTCTTTCATTGTATCTTTCCCATTTTTGCCTTTTCAGATTCCTTTAAAAATGTGCTATTAAGCCAGTATTAGGTATCTTTATTTTGTAAGCAAACATTCCAGCTGTTTTCCTGGCAGAATTGATGCTACATTCTGTTGCAGTTAAATTCATTTAGTAAATGTTTTCTATATTATTTTATACATATGCATTAAGTACAGAGCTAAGCAATGGCAGTATGAGGATTTTCTTTTTTTCCTTCAGCAATTCTGTGAGTGCATCTTAGATATGAAAAATGCAATACAAATTTTTATAGTTTGGTGTGAACATGGCTCTTTTTGTTTTATCAGTTATTTGCAAGCAAAATGTAATTTAATGTATAGATGATTTTTAATGTCTTCTGACAAACTGTAAATACTGCATTTCCTTTGCGTATATAATTGCTTACAGCTTTTTTCATTTGATATATAGCATTGTACATATTACAAGTCTTTGCAAAACTGTGTGATCTTTGTGAAAGTAGTACAGTATATGGCCTTTAATTTTTTTTATTTTAAATATACTGTCACACTGAAGCACTGGTTGGGCATTTTAATTCATGTTAATAAATCACAATTATGTCAGTTTTACCAAATTGTCTTGTATAGCTTCTGAGATTGGGGTCTGTTTAAGCAAGTGCTTTTTTATGAAAGTTTTCTTTTTTTGGATACAGTTTATAAGTAGCCTTCCATTTTCTTTAGCAGCTACTACCTCAGTTGGACTGTAGCAAGATCAGGAGGCAGTAAGGACTGTTGTGTAATGTCCCTGCTTGTCATTCCTGCAGGAGCAAGAAACATAGGAAACATGTAAATGCTCCATATGTCTGCCCTCATGCAAAATGAACCCATACCCTTAAAGCATCACACAAGATATAGTTATACATCTCAATTTACACCAACTGTTTGACAATATGGAGTACCTGTCTAAATACACGGGAACATCTAATTTGTATGTTTTAAAACATGTCCTGTTGGTTAATCAAAATTGTTTAAAACCTTAAATTAACATTTACTGTCTAGCTATGACATCTGAAAAAGACATTTAAAAAATTTGGGTATACAAAACTGAAGTGTAAAGGCATTATTCTTAGATCTTTCAAGTGAAATGAAAATGGCCTCACAAGTGAATTTTACTGCTGAAATATAAAATGTTAGTAATTTTGGTAAAATAAAAAAATTCTTTTGTCCTCAGGAGGATTAAGTATAACTAATAGTAATGGCACTATTTGTGAACACTTTTTTCATCATCCAGTTACTTGACACAATTTTGCACAGTATACAAATACTGTGCACTGGAGAAGAAAAAAGTCAACAGACTAAAATGACTAGGATTTGGCAGTAATGTAAGTTATGTTTTACACTTCAAAGCTTCATTTCCTTTTGGAAATTAGCCTATGATAGTACATTAATACAGCTGCATTTAGGGATCAATCCTAATCAGCTTCAAGTTTTAAAAGAATGTGGGTTAACCTTACCATCATTGCCTTTATCAAACAAAAGTCTACTTTATCAAAAGAAGCACTTGGCCAAAAGGAAATGGCTCCATATCATCCATCCTGATAGTTTCTGACACTACAGCTAAGTTAAGCATAGTGAAGTATCAATATTCATCTCTTTAAAGGATTTATTCCTCACAAATTTGCCTACTATATAAATAATATATGCAGAATCTCTTCTGTTAACTGCAGATTTTTATTTAATTCTTTGACTCCATAATACTGTCCTTTACCTCAAGTACTGGCCTTTACCAAAAATTAAAGTTAAAAATATTCATGGAAGAAAAAAAAGTGGAATTTAAGAATTTCGACTGTTCATACAAATGGAAGCTCTCTACCTCTGTAGGAAGCAGTACTTAGTTAATTACATATGATCCAGGCACAGGCAGAAGCAGGTTAATAAATCAGTTTTCACCTAAAAATTATGCTTTTTTGAAGCTCTTATATCCTCCTTTTCTCTGCCTTTGGGCAATTCTAATTTCCAGACAGTCAGCTTCTGAACCTACTATAATCACATACATGATCCACTGCTTGTCATTTCCATGAAGACTCCACATGGACTAGAGGAAAAGATAGAACATTCAACTAAAATCACTGGACTGGCTATAGTGTTTTTCATAACTAGCAGTTCTCACTTAGCTTATATGCATTATCATTAAGCCACCAAGAATCTGCTAAAAACCATACTATACCTAATACAAATGTATATTCCTTATAGAACAATTGGTTTTTACATTGTAAACTAGTTAGGCTATTTTATCATAAAGGACAGATCTTACAAAATTCATAACAGTTTATTTTCTAACAGCTGAAACTGCATTAGATTAATTTCATTCAAGTGTGCTATAGCCCTGATAAAATTCTTTAGAGATTTACAGAAGACATAAAATATACTCTGTGGGTCTTATAAGAATGGTTCCAGTGGAAATGGTAGTCACCATCTGTCATAGAACCCACATGGTAACTCAAAGCCTCACTAGAAAAACTTAGAAGCACAATTCATAAATGAGGGTATGTATGATCCACCTCACACTGACATGTGATACAGTGCTAACTCCAAAGAGGACTATGTGTCTTATTCCCTCACAGTGAACACTGTTAGAAAATTTATAATGCTCAGTGTAATTAATGTTTTTCATAAAACAAATGAAAAAGGATCGTTGAAATTCTAGGCATTAAATCTATATACTACAGCATTTTTTCTAAATCCACATTCTATATCCTTGTAAGACAATGAGTAATTTCCTTGTATAAAGCCTACTTCTCATGTTACAGAACTACATTTCCTGCAGTGATAGTGCTGGTATTTCCTTTAGTTTTGGGTACACTACACTGAATGGATAGTAAATGTTGGTTCTATCGATTCAAATACAGGCCAATGACCAAGGCAATGTCTGGAAAAAAAACCTGAAAACACTTTAATTTTTAAAACAACCGCAAGCACCTCAAACAATGGATTGTTGTTACAACACTTGTTATCTTTTCACAATCTAGTTATTGCAAAGGCATATGGATAAATTGTTAATGGACAAAGTCAAGAAAAAGGAGGCACCTTAATAAATGTAAAATTAAAAAAACAACAACTGGCAGTCAATCCACTGACTCCTAAAAGAGGCTAAATATACCTTTTTGTATTACATTCTAAAATTGTATTGCCTACTATGGTTTGTGTCTTGGATTCTACAATTTTAAGGAAACGCATAAACAAAATTGTGTGCAACCTGCGAAGGGAAATCATTTTCTCAACTTCAGTGCATAGAAAGACAACCAAAAAGCTAGTAAAATTGGCTATAGTTACACACAAAAATGCCTATGGAATGTATGCGCTCACTGTTACCTCCAAAGTGTGCGTTAGTGTTCTTTCTGCCCATTGTGCACTGAAAATTGTATATACCATACCTTGGTTCTAGACAAATATGAGCAAGATTTTCCAAAAAATATATATATATTTTCATTCCACACACCAAACGTATTTCTCTTGTCCAGTTTAATCTATGTAGACTTTAACTTACAGTGTTTGCAGGAGGCAACACCACATGGTACCGGGCCATCTCATTTTTAAAGGGGAATTTCTCTTTTCTTTTAAAAGTACTTTTAAAATATGCAAAAATAGGAAGGGGAATGCTAAACTATAATACATACTTCAGAGTGGGAAGTATGTTTTTTCCTTCTTTAAAATGCCATATAAGGAATGACATAACCCAGAGCCACTTTGTTTAAAATCCCATGAAAAAGGACTGTTACGGAATGAAAAGTTTGTACAACTCCTTGGAGCTAAGTCTGCTACATGCAACTTAGGCTACAAAGCACTCAAGACTTGGTAGCTTTTCTGAAATTGGAATTCCCATCCTATATTTAATGGAAATTAACATTTACAGGGTGCATTTACATACACTATAATACAGGAATGATGTCCCTTTGCCAGAAGATAAAATTGTACATTTCCTTGCTATTTCTTGGTTCCAACTTGATAATTTCTTAAGATTGTAAATTATATAGTATTAGGCTAAAATATTTCTTCATAAATAGTTACAAAACCTGCCAAAACACAAGGGGGAAAGTTTTGTCGTTCAAAAAAACCCCTGACATTTGAATGTCACACAACACAAGAAACAATGCTTAGAGACGTGTTATTGTTTCCAGAAGAAAGTGGATCAGTAAACTACTAAGCTGAAGACAAAGGACTACCCTTCCCCAGGATCACAGTGCACAAAAGCAGAATGTCAAACAACAGTACCTCAAAGCAAAATAAAGGTCTGAGGATGAAGCCAGCTCACTTGTAATCCTGTTAAAAGAATGAGAGTCACCATTTAGGTCCAATGTACTGGGAAACATTTGCTAGCTCAGAATGCTGTATTTGTAGAATCTGCTAAGAATTCAACCAAGGGTGCCGAAGGCATTCGCCAGCTGAAGCGCGTTTTTCAGGAACCATTTCTAACATTGGAATCAGGAAATCTGTAAACTGTGCAGCATCTTCATGGGGCCACCCATACTTTTCCACAAGTACATCAAAGAGGCTCCAGGGCTTCAGCTTGGTGATGTGCCGCAGTTCTCCTACAGGGAAGAAACAGGCACTGTCAAGAGAGCTCCAAATCTGCATTTCCCATGTTCATTCCAGGCAGGCTCTTTTCAACGAAGCAGATACCTACCTGCTCAACACTATGCAACAATAAAGCCAGCCAGCTTTTCTCCTCAAGAACCATTAAATGTATCACCAAGTGTGTTATATTTCAAGTAAGCTCGTCAAATGTAATTAAATAGGCACTGACTTAAAAGGGCTAGTTCATTCACAAAAATTCTAGGTTTCTTTAAATAAGCAGAGCCCAGGATGTTTTCATTCACAAAGACTGAGGCACTCCCACTCCAGCTTGGTATCCTTTGCAACTTGCAAATTCTTTGGACCACTATTTCGCATGTTACCATGCAAAGAAAAAGGAATCTTTTCCTCTAGAACAGGCTATTTGAGAGAACTTCCTGTGATGCTAGAGATGCAGAACTTCATCTGTTCTGTCCAACAGGGTAGCTGCTCCCTCTGTGTGGCTTCTCAGTACTTGAAATGTGGTTGGTATGACTAAAGTTTTAATTCAAGTGTAAGTAGCCACAAGTAGCTAGTGGCAACTATACCAGACAGCACAGATCCATACCAACCTGAGTCAAATACCACTCATTTCTGCACATTGTAAAATCTAAGCTATCAGGGCATCAATGTGCAAACCTTGAAGTTACTCTTTTCAGAATGTGCTTAGCTGCAGTATATTATATATGTGACAGAATGACCAACAAGGCAGGAAATGGTTTGAAACTATAAAAGTCTTTTTCATAACAGGAGAAAAAGTTACCTTTTAGCCAAACTGCCATAGGATGTGTCATTATGAATAACTCATTTTCTCTGTTAGAAGTTTTTATAGGACACCCCTGCCCAAAGAGAAGCCTCATTGGGTGCCCCTCAGTGCCTGCCAAAGCAGCTTCCAAAGAAAGCTGCACCCCATTCCACATACCCTCTCGGGCCCAGAGCATGTCCTGCAACCAGCACAGAGCTGAAGCATGCCCAGCCCCCAGTGGGCACAGCCATGCGGGGGCCAGTTTCTCTCTCCACTTTCACCTACAATCTGACCAACACAGTGAATTTTCACAGTGATAGGCAGTAACAGAGACTCAGTTCTCTGCTTACAGGTCTTCTCGGGAGGCTTGGTTTGTTCTACCCACTTACTCAGCTCAATTTAGAAATACACTTTTCCTATAAAAGAACATCTCATAAAATTACAAACACAAAAGGAGAAATGACCTGTAATCCCAACCCACCAGGACTTTTTCTTTTGGCCTATACTCTTCCAATGTATGCGCTTATGAACTGCCATGTCTACTGAGTTGTAATCGTGATGTGCACAGAGTTCTGAATAAAAACATCTTTACAGAAAGTTTCTTGTTAAAGAAGCTGGTTATAAAATAAGCTTTCTGGCTCCAATGTGAGGCCTGGGGATGGAGTTAAGCTCAGCTTCCAGACTGCGGTCAGGCCTGGGTTTACAGTAGGGTAGTGGACCCGCCTTCCATGAGAACAAAGTCTGTGCAATCCCTGAATGTCCATTCCCTTTCCCCCACTTCTAGGAATCTGGCCTAAGGAAATAAAGCTGGCATCCACCACCCACCCCCAAAATATGCTCACTGCAAAATTATACATATGTTCAAAATTTTAAATGCTCAGTAACAGAAGAATGGTGGTTTGAAAAAAAACACAAGCAACCATGGTACACCCATTTGATGAATATTATTTACTACTACTAGATAATATGGGAGGAAATTTTGTGGTAAAATATTTGGTAGTAAAAGAAGTCAAAACTCTGTTCTACACACAATCACAACAGTGATCTTCAAAGTGCTCACTAAAGATATAAAGCAGGTGCCCCAAACACCAGCTTTATTATAAGGTTGTTTCTTTCTGCATTTTCTATAATGCAGCTCTATTGATTCTGTTGTTTTTAAAGATTTTATTTATCTACCTTCAGAGAGAGGGAAAGGGAGGGAGAAAGACAGAAACGTTGATGTATGAGAGATACATGGATCTGTTTCCTCTTGCACACCCCCAACTGGCCACCTGGCTGGCAACCCAGGCATGTGCCCTGACTGGGAATTGAATCAGTGGCTGGCACTCACTCCACTGAGCTACACGAGCCAGGGCTCTATTGATTTTATAGTGACTGTTCATCTCACCCAAGCAAGGATAAAGCAAACTGAGAAAGCTCTCACGTAACATGCTAAAACAAGCTCTCTAGGAAGAGAAGAGAGCTTTATTTATACTCATCTACTCTGACTTGGAATAAAGACCAGTACTTTTCAGGTTTGGGAATGAATGCAACTACTGAGAAGCACTATCTGCTCAGAACAACAAAGAAATGTAGTCCTGAAGGTGTCAGTTTTCACTAACTAAAATCCATCACGAGGCATGAAAGTATGCACAATCTTCAGTGAAGAGAGAAGTGGTTTACCCCAAAGATGACTTAAAATCTTCATAAGAATGATCTAAACAATTCAATTCTGAGAGGCTGTGAAAAACTATTGAGACCTAACTAGCACCACTATAAACTGACAAAAATATTACCCCAAACAACCTAAAATATCTAACATACTTTGACCAGGTAATCACACATAAAAAAACTATGCAAACATGCTGTCTAGAACAGGACAATATGCAAAATAATCCTAAACACCAGTAGGTACTGCATACATAATAACATTGCAATATAACAGAACACTGAATCGCCTCTGAAGAGAATATGTGGATTATGTGGACAGTTGGAAACAATACATAATGCCAAGAAAAAACAAAATAAATTTGCCTAGGCCCTATGATTGTAAGTGTACATTCTTACATGTAATTCAATGATAAGAAATGTGATCTTACAACTAGTTGAAGGGTACTTAAAAACAAAACCTAAGCCCCCAAACGTGTACACCTACCACTAGCACAAATGCCAAACCCAGGCTCATCTGACGAGCCAGGGCCTCGAGTCCCTTTACCAGCCCCAGCCCCTCGGATGACACACTAGAAACAGCAACCTGCACTACCACCGCTACTTACTATAAAAAATAAAGAAAGAAGATCAGTGGCTCCCTCACAAGGTAAAGAATTTTTGCCTTGACAATGTTTTCTCTTAGGAAAATAATACAAAGATTTGTTCTGCTGAAACAAATTTTGCAAGTATCCAGACACTTAATTGTGGCAGTCTGTGCTTTTTAAGCCATTTCCAGCCTTTCTCCCTTCCTCGCCATCAGCTCTCACACAAATGTGTACAAACAAGAGACTAACAAAGGTGCTCACCAGATGGGGGCCCTGCCACCAGTGCAGCCCTCAGCAGCCCCTGGGCTACGCTCTGGAGCAGGGTTACTTGGACAGGCCTCCGAAATGAGGAACTGGCCCTGGGGGAAGGCTCCTCCTCAGGAGCGAAGGCCTCGAGACTAAGACTGTATTTGCCATCCTAGATTATTAGGTTACTTTTTTAGGAAAAAGTTAAGCACTTCCACTATACATCTCGTAGATATTATTTTAAGAGATTTGTAAAGGGAAATATATTACTTTGCCCATGAAATGATAATATTCCACAATTAAACATACAAGCATTGAGGTTTCACACCACACATGGGGGACTACGAAGGCAAAGCCTGGTGCAGTGTTTAAGCAAATACTGGTAACTAGAGAAAACAACATAATATGAAATTTATTAAATTTCAATAGCACACACAGAAAGGAAACCTATCAGATAAATTTACTGGTACAAAGACACAAAACACAAAATTTGAACACATTCCTACAAAGTACATGTAGGTAAATACCTGAGTTCAGATTCTGTTTAAACTGTTATCTCCTCCACACACAAAATTTAACTCAAAATGGATCACAGACCTAAATGTAAGATCTAAAACAGAAAAGCCTTAGACGAAAACAGAATGAATCTTTGTGACCCTGAAGTAGGCAGCATGGTTCTTAGGTATGACATTAAAAGTACAGTAACCAAAAACAGGGAGAAAATTGGACTTCATCAAAATGAAAACTTTTGTATTTCAGTTGTCACACATGTGCATTCACATGTCCACACAAAAACTTGTACATGAATGTTCAAAGAAATATTATTAATAGCAGCTAGAAAGTGGAAACAACCCAAATGCCCATTAACTAGAAACCAAATACGGCTGGTCCACACAGGAATGAATGACGCACGGACGTGTTATTAAAAGGCTGTTATAAAAAGTTGGAACATGCCCTGGCTGGCGTAGCTCAGTGGATTGAGCACGGGCTGCGAACCAAAGTGTCGCAGGTTCGATTCCCAGTCAAGGTACATGCCTGGGTTGCAGGCCATGACCCCCGGCAACCGCACATTGATGTTTCTCTCTCTATCTCTATCTCCCTCCCTTCCCTCTCTAAAAATAAATAAATAAAACCTTAAAAAAAATTCTCTCCTTAAAAAAAAAAAGTTGGTACAAAACATACAACAAAATAACTTTAAAAGAATTCCAATGTGTTAATGTATACAATAAAAACAAGCATTTCACTAATAGGTCATAAAAAATGACAGGAATAAGTGGGATGAAGTATAATAGAATTTACTTGAACCTGTAGCAATAGTTTCTTTTTTACATTATGTGCTCAAATTAAAAAATAAATGAGTAAAATAGTAATTCAACCCTATGATCAGTTGTGGCTTATGGTTTGTTATTTTCCAAATCCCTTCACGGGGAGTTCTAGGCCACTACAGTCGGCCTCCAGGGCGCAATCACTCTCACACCCTGTCCTCTGCTGCCACTCTGGCTGGGGGTGGGGCCTTCTCCTGCAGCCCCAGAGCAGGTGGTGGGGCTAGTGCAGGTGAAAGCAGGTGCTCTGGGAAATGATGCCAGGAGGCAGGTGGGGGTGGGGGGCGTCCCTGGAGCCACCCCAGGCAGAGTGACACTTAGTGTTGCCCTGTTCCTAGCTCACACAGGCTTCCATCCAAAACAATGGCTGGATCCAGGTTAATGTTTTTAAATCGGATAACTAAATACTGACTTAAATGGCTTTTCCCCCCCGTAAGCCAGGCTCTGAGAACCCAGCAGGAACTCACACAGACCGATCCCTGCTCTCACAGAGCTCTGCTTCTGGGAAGAGCTTAGCACTGAGAAGGAAAACCAGACTTTTTATAACCCAGAAGTAATGTTTAAGAATAAGCTGCAGTTAAAATACTAATAGTTTAAAAGTTTCAAGACCCACTAATACGGAGAAACAGGTCTAGTTATTTCAAGAGTCAAACTCATGCTGAGATCAGTCCTAAGAGCCTGTCTGCACACCAGGCACCTAACAGGAAAGGGCCCGAATTATAAATGAGAAGATGTCCCTCAGCTACACTTGATTTTTAGCTTTCACACGCAGACTCAACTCTTGCTCCCTCGACTCACAGTGGGGAGAAATCTGCTTCCCACAGAGAGCAGGAAAATCTGTCGTTTACTCCGCTACAATGCTGGCTGCTTTCCAATGTAACGTTTGCAAAGTAATGGTTTTCAATTTTGCTTTTCTTGTTATCAGTTCTGGCACAAAGGTATTTTAGGGAAAAAATGTAAATGAATACCTTATCCCATTCTTTCCAAAATGTACACAGTATGTCTGGAAAGAGTCCAGCCACTGTTCATATAACAAGAACAGTTTGTGTGACATCAATATAACCTGGCAGCCAAGGAGAGTGGACTGGAATGCATGGGTAAACAATGATGACTTCACTGTACTAGTCAGTGGGGGTGGTAGACACTGTTGAGTGAGCATGTGTACTATGTGGCCGTTGCATTTGAAATGACTGGGCGCATAGAACAATGAATCTGCATCAGATTTTGCGTTAAGTTTGAACATTCCTCCACAGAAACTATTCAGATGATTCAGAAGGCCACAGCTATGGGCAACTGGTGATTGGCAGCTTCATCATGACATCATGCCTGCTCATGTATCATGTCTCATGCAGTTTTTTGACGAAACAATAAATCACCCAGGTGAGAGCCCCTACAGCCCAGATTTGGCACCCTGTGACTTCTGGCTTTTCCCAAAACTAAAATCACCTTTGAGAGGGAAGAGATTTCACACCTTCAATGAGATTCAAGAAAATTATGATGGGGCAGCTGACGGCAGTTGGGAGAACTGTGTGAGGTCCCAAGGTGCTAAATTTGGAGGGGACTGAAGCATCTCTATCCTACATACAATGTTTCTTGTATCTTCTTTGATAAGTGTCTCTATTTTTCATAGAGGCTGATACAAATGGCTGGATACCTTCTGGACGTGTCCCCTCCCCCTCACGCACGAAGCTTCGTTTGTGTGTAGGCCGGGAAGGGCACAGATCACACACATCACTCAGGGAGGCACGCCCAGACGCCTCTTTCATGCAACACATTATGCCCCTCAGCCTGAAATCTATTTTCATGATGGCCCTCATTCATCATAATATTCTTCCCATAACTTCTGTAAAAACCCTACCTCCCTTCTGATTTTCATTGTTATTATAGATAAACAATAATTAGGAAAAAACTTAAGCCCCAAATCCCAGTCATTTTAGGGGATTTCTTGCCAAATCATCAATTCTCCTTTACATCCAAAGGAAGGAAAAAAATGACTGTAGTTATCACAGTAACACCGAATCAGATGTTTTTGTCTGTCTACACCAAGAATGCTAAATGCATTTCAACTCCGCAGGTCACCTTTAAACAAGCAAGTAGGCAAGTTCTCAAGCGCATGTTCGATAATGACGTGTGATGGAACAGTAGGTTCTGAACAAGAACGTGAAGCTTCGTTTGTGTGTAGGCCGGGAAGGGCACAGATCACAAGTTGCCCCAGGTGCAAGAGTGCTGATGGAAAGGTCAACCTGAAAGCCCACTTTCAGCACAAAGGGCCACAGGACAGGGAGCTCTGAGCTGAAACCAATCCCCCATCCAGTATCAGTTCACTACGCATCAGTCACCGACCTGTCCTCTGAAGAAAGCCCTTGCCAAATGAGGTGAGGAGAGGGTGTCAGACCGACAGCTGCTTCTGAGCTGGAATTCAGCAAGTGCTGTCCCTGGAGGAGTGCAGCAAAGCCTAACAAGCATGACACCTCAGGGCAGCTGCCACTTAGGGCACAGATGACCTCAGGATGCTCAGAGAGGCCCTTACAGATAACTTGGGCCTGTGTGTGAGAGTTTGCATGTGGGGCGCAGAACTTTCTACCTTGCTCCTGTGACCCAGACTTGAAGAGCAGCTTCTGGGAACTGAAGTTAATGCAGTTGTCTGAAGAATAGTTTTCTATAACAATTTTTTTCTTGTGATAAGCCTTAAAAAAGTAGTAAGAAAATAACTGTGCCTAATTACATATGTCACAGGTTGTCCACCGGGTGGCCCCAAAAGCTGGGTGCTGTGGTGCGTGTGCTCAGGTAGGTGGAGCAGGAAACCACCATCTCTGCAGGGCTTGTTCCCAGGCCTCCGGTGCTTAACAGGAAGCGCTACTCTACAAGGATTCCTCACCTCACAGGAAAGTAAGAAGTCAGACTGGCGCTCCAAATCCAGCTACAGCAGGGGAGAAGGAATATCTGGGACTTGCAAGGATTTCTACAAACTCCATGTCCTGCTCACACCAACTTTAAAAGTTCTTTAACAGTGTGTCAACCAAAAAACAAATCTTACACTGAAAAGGCATGAATTAAGAGGGCCAGCTATGCTCACACAGAAGAATATGGCCCTGGGGAGAGGTTCTTTAAATATAACACAGAGTAAGGTACTGCAATGAGAGAACAGGATTTGATCTGCAAGAATGTGAGGCATGCAGGATCCCACAGGCTTACACCCTCTAGATCAAAGAGGATGTCAATGGACATTCGCTCGGTCCAGTCTCTAGGCCACTTCTGCTCCAGTGCAGAAACAATCTAGCTCCATGAGCAACATGGAAAAGGTAAAGATATGTTTAGCTGGTTTTTAGAAATCACTTAATTCTTTTTCATAAATAATACACAGACTGGTACTGAGAGCAGGAGAGAAGAGGTGTGGGATAGGTCGAGGGTTTTCGGGAGGCCATCTCTTACAGAATTCTCCATCCACAGACATCAGCTGGTTCACTCAGGCTGATTTCTTGGGAGCTGCTTTTAGCAGAATTCCCTGGTTGTAAAAGTCCAGATTTTTCTCCAATGCCCAAATGCAAAAGCATAATTTCTCCTTCTGGGAGAGGATTATGCTGAAATTAGTGTTGCATAAATACCGTTACCTTTTCTGGTGAAAAACTCCTTGGAATATTTCCCCAACATAGCGTATTTTCGAGGAACTTTCCCCAGCAGTTCAATGATCAATGCTATGTGATCTGCATTGGGAAACATTGCCAGCAAAACAGAAACACACGACAGTTTAATCAGTACACTGCATGCAGACACTGCCACCGCCCGCGCAGACAGAAACAGAGAGCGACCTGAACAATCAAAAGCACCGGCTCTGCCCTTGTGGCCGGATGCAGGCACCCAGTGGAAGAGGGCACTGCAGAGGAGCTGACGCACAGCACAGGGTGACCATGGCACTGGGCCAAATGCAGTCTTCCCTCTCAACTTTTAAATCAGCACAGGAATTCTGCTGGGTTGTTTTTTAAATTTAGGAGAAATGCCTTTGTCATCATTAATGCTGCAATCAGCAGCTGCTATTCCATTTCTGTCTGCATCGTGGCGCTTTTCAAAAAGAAGAGGTACTACCTCTGCGATTGAAGAATTCCCGAGAGTATTTTCCAGATAGAGCAAAGTGCCTCGGGATACTGCCTAGCAGCTCTATGATGTGGGCTATGTGGTCTATGGAGGAGAGAAAACAGGACATGGGAGTGGGAGGGGCAGAGGAAGGGTGGGGATAAAAGAAGAGGGAAAAAAATCGAAATTAGTGAAAACTCAGAAACAGATCCAAATCAACAATGTTTGCAGCACATCCATGCAGAGGCTTCTGGGACCGGCAGGCCTCAGGTACCACCTGGAGCATTACTAGCAACTGATGCCAGCTCACCCCAGGCCACCCCAGCATTGCAAACAACTAAGCATGGAAGTGGCCAGGTCTACAGATGGAATTCAAGTCAGAGTTCCCTGGTTTTCAACTCAGCTCCCAAAAAGGAGAGAAAAACAAACAGCAGCTCAGTGGGCAAAAGGACCACAGAGATATGGAGAGGCTTCGGGGCCTGTAGGGCCGGGGTGGCAGGAGGGAGGGTTCTCTGGGTGCTGCCCCTGCCTGGAGGCTCTGCCCATTCACTGCCAATGAGGGTGCTTCAAGCTCAAATGAATTAAAAAAAAAAGCAAGCATCGGAATTTGGTATTTGAAAACCAGTACGTAGCTCTGTTTCAGTACAAACACAACAATACTCTCCAGAACTTCAGGACCCTCAAGAGACCCAGACTAAAGCATTCGGCAGGCACACTACTCACCTTCATCTCTGGAATAGTCCTCTCCAGAATGCGGCTCAAACAAATAATCTCCCGTTGCCAGCTCAAACGCCTAGGACACAACAGAGGGCATGCTAAGCACTTCAGAGACTGGCTCCCGAGTCACCAAGTGTTTCTCCTTGTGTAAGAGACCTACATTTTATAAGGATCTGTATCAAACCAAAGAACCACCTAAACAGGCCCAACACCAAATTTATTCTTCCTTCCAGAAAGTTCAAAGATTCAGAAACAGTCTTACATCTCCTCTACTGAAGATGAAAGGGGCTAGGCACTCTCTTCATTTTGCAAGAGGCGAACTAGACACATCTGTGTACCCACAAGCAGCTGTGAGGAGGCCTGGCTGGACCTCTGCCCTTGGCCCCTAATAGCAGCACGAGGACTCAGTTCAGGCCCAGGCCTGTCTGACACCCGAGCCAGCCTTCACCCAGGGGACTAGCCTGGCCCCTGGACAATGGGTGCTGCCGCTCTCTTAAAGCCGAGACCTCCAAATCCTAGTAAACCCAGGGGGCTACTTTCAGCATCTCCTCATCATTGCATTCATTTCTGACTCAACAAAAGGAACACCTAAAGCCTGAGAAGCCCCTCTTGCTCTGTTCCCTGGGGCCTGGAGAAACCAGATCACGGTGCAATGCCTCCCAAGGAGGGCAAGGAAAGCTGGCTCCCTGGGTGACCACAGCCTGCTCCCAGCATACCAGAGTGGGGGAGGCCATTTGTCCCCACTTCCACCAGGTGTTCTCTCTCTCTCTCTCTCTCTCTCTCTCTCTCTCTCACACACACACACACACACACACACACACACACACAGGACTATGAGTTTAATTTGGTAACAATATATAGATGGCAACTGCTATTGCTCTGATCAAGTAGGTTTTAAAAACAAAACTAAACAGGATAAGCTAGATTCCATCTTTGGTTTTTACCATACTAACTTCTACTCTGTGTCAGCTCTTGCAATTCTGAAAGGTGCTGGGGGACTCACCTTCCACTGATGCCGGTGGATCCAGGACTATGGCGCTCCCCACCCCACCAGGCACTACCATCCCAACTCCCGGCCTGGTGAGCTGTCACAGCACTGACCTACTCTCCTTCTGTCTTTGAGCACACTGCGGGGGAGGCACCCCCGGGAAGGCTTGTCTACCTGCACTGAGGCCTTCTCCCAGGACTCTATACAAACCCCGGGTTGGTGCTCTGAGCCCAGGACCACCAGTACATGAACTCAGGATCCCTGCCCGAGCCACACCTGAGTCTGAGAAGGCCCTGGCCATGTCAAGTCTCAGCACAGGGTAAGGTGCTGCCCCGGTGCTGCAGTGCCTGAGAACGTCCTCACCTGGGGCCTCCCCTCTCCACCTACTAAGCAGTAAAGACACTGGGCCAATGCCAGGTCAAGGTAAAAAACCTCACAGTTGGCTGCAAGTCCAAGGGGAACAACTGGATTACAAACTGAATGGCGGGAAGAAATCTTCCTCACGTAGGACACAATCGATTTTATAACCATACAAGAGGAAAAGGTGAAATTTTAATGGGGAAAGGCCCAAGGAGCTGCATGGCAAGATGCTCCCAGGAGAAGGCCGGCTGCTTGGTAACCCTTCCGGGGTGCTTGCTCACTGTTCTAATTAATCTTCAAAAATATTTCAGGACCAACCTCTGCTCTCAGATTCTGGGGAGCTGTACATATTTCATGCAGCCTAACACTAAGATGTCAGCTGAGTCTTCTCTGAAAGATAACCATTTTGATTAGCACCCACATATTTCCAAGGAAATCCTTAAGTCAAAAGAGCCTATCAATGAAATGGTTGAAAAGATAAAGGAAGAGAACAGGATGAAGGCTCCTATCATGTTATCCAGTCCTGGTTCTCCGCAGAGTAAGGAGATTTCCTTGACAAACAGGACAGGCACAACAAGGCGAACACACATGACCTCTGCTCTTTGTGACCTAATTTTGTGCTGGCAGCTCTGAAGCCGTGAGAGAGGGCCCCTTTCCACTCAGTCAGTTACTCCCACTGCAACCTTGATAATTAGTATTTATTTTTAGTAATTGGGAAAGAACTTGGGATTCTTCCCTCTATACTTGGCCTGATGCCCTCAGAGGGCCTTCCCTTGGACCAACCTCTGCTCTCAGATTCTGGGGAGGTCCCTTTGTTGAAAAGCCCTGTCATGCTGAAGTGCCCTATTCTGAATAAATAAGGTCACCTGTGAGTAATGTGACCAGTGCTAAAGAAGGTTCGTGAAATCTGTCAGACGGGCTTTTCTTGTTTCTATGGCACTCACTCTGGCTCACGACGGAATCCATAAAAAGACACCTGGTCAGGGCCTCTGACACACAGATGCAGAGGAGCTGCCACCACCACCCATACAGAGTTATTACATCACATGCACTAGGCCTGGAGGGGCCCCGAAGCTTAAGAAAAGGAAAAAAGATTCAACACCTGCTGTCTCCCAGCGACTCTGCCTCATTTTGTTGTCTTCCCCAAGGGAGGGAGCTCTGCTCGGGCAGCACTGGAGGCCCTTCTGGGGAGCAGGGCGCTGCCACTGCAGTCTCCTGACGACCCAACTCAGGTGCAACACTCAGAGGGTGCTGGGCGTCATTCCAGTTTGGAATCATGAAGTTATATAACATACTGTTGTATTTTTAAATGTTGATAAAAAGGTAGGGGCGGGGAAACACTGCCTCATCTTTACCAGGTTCTCCAGTTGGAACAAAGAGACTCCCAGCCACGACCTTCAGGGATAAGGGATGAAAGTGCGGAATGAAGGCTTGCCCCTTCCAGAAAAATCGCCCTTTTGACAAAAATTAAAAAATTTGACAAAATTTTAACAACTCTCATGAGCAGCCCTGGGAGCACTGAGGGAGCTTATGTTTAATTTCCCGAGATTGTGGGGGTGGGTGGAGAGCTGGTGAAAGGAGACAGTGAATGCGCTTCCTCAGGAGTCACTGATATTCGCAGCAACAGCAGGAGCCCGCAGGACCAGAAACCGTGTGGAGGCAGGTTCTCATCTAACTGAAGGCAGGACAGAGGCTCTGGTGCAACACTGCACTGACAGCTCCTCCACTGTCCTACTACATCTGAGATCTTGTCCTATTTTTCTGGTTATATCACCAAAATTTAACACCCCAAATTACAGGCACAGGAAAGCAGAATTGAAAATGTTCTCAGAGTCTAATTCAGGGCGGCCCTGATATGGCCCCTTCTGTGTTGCTGGGGACAAGTCAGCCTTGAGCTCCCCCCATCCCGAAGTGGAACATCTGTCCCCTGCAGCTCGAAGTGTTCAAAGTGTTTCCTCTCTCTACTGACTGCCCCTCGGCTTCCCAGCCCCTCCGCCCTCCGGAGTCACGCAGAGTGACTCTATTCCTCTCCACAGTAGTCTCTACATTCAAAGAAACCACCCCATTTCCACCAATTCTTTTAAACATTCTTTTCCATACCCAGTCACAGCAGGGACTTAGTTTTTGATACTTACTGAAAAACTTAAATTTTAAAATTATCTGTCAGAGCAATATGGGAAGAGAAAGGCACAGTATTTCAGTTCTACTTGGCCATATCTGTTGCCTCATGATGCTAATTTGAAAGACACAAAATACCTACTTTTTTCATATTATTTTAGCACTATTAATAATGCTTTTACTTTAGCATTAGGGGACTAACAATCCAACAAAATCAGTTGTTATATTGGCCTTTGAATAACAGTATGTTTAATCATTCAGCATTTTTCAAATAAGACAAGTGCCAAGCTTCACACACATGCTCTTGTATTTTAACATCAAAAGAGAATTTGGGAAAAAATATGAAATAAGAGAAGCAGAAAACACTACCCTTATCATATCTCTCTCTCTCTCTCTCTCTCTCTCTCTCTCTCTCTCTCTCCTTTCCAACACAGGACTACAAAGCCCAGCCCATGAAGAGGAAAGTGCTGAACTGGCCAGGAAAGAGAAGCTGAAATGGGCTTGTGGAGGAAGGACCACTCATGCTCATCAATTCACACGAAAGAAGTGAGACAAAAGTGCACTGGTGGAGCCTGGGGAGAGTCTAGACACAACTACACATGTGTGATGCACAAAGACAGCAGTGAAGTGGACGACACACCGGGGCAGGCGGCATCCTGAGGCCCTGAGGAAAGATCGCTGTGTGCTCTGCGGGAGCAGACTCGGTCAGGGAAGCATATGCAGCTGCTGGTATTCCAAAGCGAATGGAGGGCCCACAGCAATAAGCCAGAATATTCTCTAGATTTTACTTCATAAAAGAAGAGAGATGAAACATTGGTAGATGGGTAATCCTTCCCTCTCGAATAAGGACATAAGGTCTGTCAGAGGATACCAGGAAGGACTACAGCCTTTCAGCCTCAGACAGTCACAGCTGTCTCATCTTCCTCTACAGCATGAGTGAAGGATGAAGCTGTGTGCAACCTGCAAGCTTTCAGGAACCAGAAGGCATGAGCTGAAGTCATTTTGCCACCACAGCAGAGGGTCTGGTTCTTAGGGACATGGGTGGCCTACACAGGGCCTCAGGAAGAGATCATCTCTGACAAGACCAAACCAAAGCAAACCAACTCAAGGACATGCCTGAGAAGAGTTCTTCCAATTCCGGAGACACCCATGGCAGCAACCTTCCCCTCACCCATTCCATGGCAGACACCTTCCCAGTGAAAAGCTTCAGGCCACATGCACCAGTGAGGCCACCCCATCACGAGCACTCAAGTGATGAGCCTTTACAGGGAAGAAAGTGGCCACGGCCATTCTTACCATACACGCTGTGCTCCAAATGTCAGCAGGTGTACTGTAACCTGCTCCTATTAAAACCTCTATGGATCTATACTGCCGTGTCTGGATATCTTCGGTGAAGTGTTTATGCTGAAACGGAACAGACTGCATTACATCGGAGAAACACACTAAAAACGAAATAAAGTATCTTCTAATGCATGATCACAACCAAAATGTTTTAGAAAGAAAATTCTACTTACCACCCAACAAGCATTTCCCAGGTCAGCAATTTTAACTCTAATTTTATCGGCATTCCGTGGATCCAGGGGATTCACCAACAGGTCGGCCGCCCGGGTTTTTGCTGGCATGAGCAAACAACAGGACAGTTAGTGCGTGAAATAAGTGGTTTGTGTGTGTGCACACAACGTTTGTTGGGCACAGAGCCTCCTTTTCTAGAAAAGCGAGGGCATGCTTATTTAGGCCTGGAATCCTGTAAGTTGAACTAAACAGAATGCAAGTCTGCAGTCTCCACCTCTGGAAAACACTGCACAGGAGGGAACAAACTGGGCCGTGCAGAGACCTCGCAGACACTGCCTTGCCCTTTTTCCTTTGTCCTTGATTCCTTCAACTCTTGGGTCAGCCCTGCCCCGCCCCCTTCTGTATGTTCCTAGCTGCTCACCTTACGAGAGCCCACTCCCTGACGGACCCCATCAGCTCGTTTGTGCGTCAGTACACAGAATGTAACAGCAGGGAGCTCGCTGCCCGGGGTGGTCATCCTTTCCGAGAGACACACTGTTCATCCAGCACCCACACCCCTGTCCCTCCCTCTGCTTGGGTTGGCCTCAAGGGTTAGATGGTGGCCGATTTACAAACACAGATTAAACTAATCAATCCTGGTTTAGCTTTGAACAAGAAATATTTCAGGAGAGGTTTTATGAGACAGCTTGGTTCTTAAGGGCAAACCTCTGAGCTCCTTCATGATGGTCCTGTCAAATAAGCAGGCCCCTCCCGACCCCAGCAAGGCCCTGAGAGGGTCTCAGCAGCAGGCCAAGGGCCAGGCTGCTCAGGGCTCCTGGGACAAATAGCTTCCCGCACAAGTTCAGACCAGGCCTGCACCAAGTAGTTAACCAGGGGCCAAGAGACAAAGAAAAATAACTCAGTGAGGCCCAGACAGAAATCCTGAAGTTCAGTTAGCACCTTCATCGAACCTCAAACTGACCTACACGCTCAGATTTCGGGAAAGGATGAGATACACCCATGGCTTTGCTTTTAGAATTCTGAAGTGGTAGTTAAAGACTAAACAGAAAAGTCCGCTCAATGCAGAACATTAAACGTCCTTTTGTTCACTCAAAGCTGGGAACTGCTAAAACGAACCAAACTTCCTTTTGGCTACATCTGTGCTGTAACGCTGCAGCACAGAAGGTGGCTGGCTCCTCTCACCCCATCAAGCAGGAAGGCCAGGCTGTGCTCACTGTTAGCAGGGCAGTGTGTAGACAAGGCACCCAGGACCCAGAGAACTGACACAGGTCCCCTGGAGGGGCCAGATGATGCAGAAAGAACTCTCGGTAACGTCTGGATCCTCTAGACCCCTCCCTCAGGCTGTGCATCAACCCAGGCTGGCCAGGCACACATGTTACCTTTTTGCTCTCTGCCCTATGTCCACTTCCCTCTTTGTAAAAAGACTGATCCACTATCAAAGGCCAGATAGGAGCTGAGAAGAAGAAACACAGAAAACTCAGAAATGAGAAGGAAAGTCCAGAGAGCTAGCCACACATGGATGCAAAATGTACAGGCTACATGGAGAATGGGTTGAGAAGAGAGTTCCAGGAGAAACATAAAAATGCTGACCCAATGGATAGATGGGCAGCAGGGAAAATGACTAAATAAATCCTCATGCCATGTGATCAAGGAAAATCAGTAGGCAGGAAAGTGAAATTTGAGGATTATGGAACTGGGTTCAAATCTAAGTTTCAACACTGACAAGTTTTAAGACTCTGGCAAATGACTTCAACTATTTGAGACTCAGTAAAAGGCAGGAAGAGGAAGGGATCACTCCACTCCTCCCTCGCCCCAACACACACTCATTCTCGTGCTCGCTCACTCTCTCTCCTACACAGGAGAGCCAAGGCTGCTCAGCTGGCCAGCTCCCGAGGTTCTACATCAGCCAGACCACCCGCCTCCAAGGCTGAAGCGTCTCACTGGCCAGTGAAGGACCAACTCTCCCCTTCATGATATGCTGTTATCCTCCTGGCTCAGGTTTGTAAATAGTGACACACCTCACAAACGGCACTATGGAATTTACCTTAAAAATGTAATTGTCTAAGAACATAGAGAAAGTGGAAGAGAATTTGCCTACATCTCTGACTTTCTTGTCTCGGTGTGATAATGACCTCTGCTAGGGTACTTGACTGCAATAGTCCAAAGAGCCCATTTAAACACAGGGACACTCGTACCTGCTGCGGAATCTGACCAACATTATCTTTGCACCGAGGAGGGAGTGGAGAGTGGGAAGAGAGAGGTGAGGAGACCTCACTTCAGGAAGGGCTGAGGACCTTAAGTCATTTCTGATAAACCAGTCTCTAGGTGATGTTGTGTTCAACCCACATGAAGCCACCGCCCAGAGCGGTGAAACAGTCACCCTCGCTTATCTGCAAGGCACTACCCTAGGCCTGCACTGATACTCTGCAGTTTAAACATCCTTACGTGGGAGGCAGGAGTAGCCTCACAACATGCACATTCAGCACAGGCCCAAGTAGCAAAACTAGAAGATTCAATGCCCAAATCTGACCCATTCATTCACCAAGTATTCACTGAATCCATTCTTTGTTCCAGGTGCTGTCCTGGCACTGGGAACAGTGTAAACAAGACATAAGAGGTTCCCCCACCACACCCCAAATACCCCAAATTGGGACACTCATGAACTGGCTGGGAATATGGGCAATTAAGTAATTACAATGACTCATATACCATGTCAGGTGGCTGTATATGCTGAAGAAAAACAAAGCAAAGAAATAAGATGGACAATGATGAGGGTGTTCAGGGAAGGTGTTTTCTGAGAAGGTATTCCTTGAGGAGAGGCCTGAATACAGGGGGGAATGGGGGAAGAAGCTCTGGGCAGAGGAGAGAGCAAGGACGAAGTGCACAGAGGCACAAACAAGCACACCGGTACTCTGGAGAAACTTGAGAAAGAAGCCAGTGTGGGAGGTGCAGAAGGAGCACAGGAGAGAGACAAAGGGGATGTTGGGAGAGAGGAGACGCAGCTGCCTGGGAACAGACTGGAGAGAGCTCATAAGCTTTAGGGAGCTCGCCTCTGGGTGCTATTCTAAGTGGGAATATACTGGAGATGGGGGTGGGAGGGAATGACAGAATGAGCTTTAAAAAGTTCTCTGTCTGAGCTGCTCTACAGAGAACAGCCTGGGAAGCAGGAGTCAAAGTGAGACGAGCAGGGAGCCTGTGTCACAGCAGCCTAGGCAAGGGCTAATGGTCACATGGGTCACTATCAGGTAAGAGTGAAAGGACTCAAAGTATACCAACATACTTGCAGGTAAGGCCAATAACACCACTCTGCTCCAGGGTCTTTGTCCTTCAGATGTGACGAGCCAGGATCCAGTCTAAGGCTATAGCAGCTAATAATCCAAGAGGAATCTTGCTTCCTCTTCTCAGCCTTCAATGGCTACCAAATTACTCTAGGGAAAAGTGCACATTTTTCTAGCCTGGTATGTAAGTTCTTCCTCAATCTTCTGGCCTGGTCTTTTCTTTAACTATTCCCTAATGTATACACTCTGCTGTAATGACAAGGATCTACACAGATTCTAAATAAAGCTTGTTTCTCTTGCCTCATATTCATATAATGCCAAGTGGACATCTACCAGCCATCAGGCCACACCCTTTCCATGCTGGAGGATGCCCATGGTTATGAAACCACCAGGCTGAAACCAGGACTGAGTGCCTCCAAACAAACGAGTGGATCAGGAGGTCCTGTCCCTGCTATGTCCCTAGAACTTAACAATACAGAAAACATCTGCTTGCTAAGAGACTGGGATCAGTGAAAATAAACAGACCTCCTATTTTTCCCTGATTCATGCAACAGACAGGGTGCAGGGGACGGAATGTGTGTTGGAGAGAATAAAACTTAGATTGTAAGTTTTTACAATCTAAGATTGTAAGATAGAAAAAGGTGGGAGAAAGGGAAGAATAGAAGAATATAACCAGCTATTACTGATTTGTTTGTTCATTACTCAACAAATATTTATCCTAGCATCACATGCTGAGGATATAAAGAGAAAAATACATAGCACTTTCAAAGAGTTTACATTCTAGTAAAGAGAAAGGTAATGGAAATGAATGACCACACTGTTAAGAAAGGTATGACCAGCGGAAAAAGAGGGGAAAGGGAACAGGCTGCCAGGGAACACAGGGAAGACTTGTGTTTGAGCTGCTACCTAGCAAAAAGATGAAAGTTTGCCAAAGGGATGGACAATGGATAAACAGGAGGAAGCATTCCAAGCCGGAGGAAGAGCATAAGCAAAGGTACAGAAGCATGAGCAAACATGCCCTATGCACACAGATACTCTTTAGTATGTCTTGCAAATAAACCAGGAAGAGGCTATGCTATCCCTGGTGACCAAAAGTGTCAGAAGCAGTGTGATGGTAGTGTGAGAATAAAGAAGACACACACGGAGGTGAGTTCTTCCTTAGATGAACCTATGTCCCAGGTGAAAGCATCTTGTAAGTACCTTTTAAAAGTTCTGCTCACAGTAGAGGTAAACAGGATGAGAATATGTTTACTTGAGTTAAAAAAACAAACAAACAAACCCACATCTTTAGGAAGATTCGCTACAGCCAATGAGTAGCAGAGGCAGCTCTGTAGGTCTCCCACCCGCTACAATGAAAGGGGCTGCAAAACTGGTTGGGCAAGTGGCAGGGCTGGCTCATCAACAGACTCCGCATGGGTTATAAACACTCTTGTCAGCAGAGGAGGTCCCTGAGCTTTCCAGTGTGGGACAGAACAGAAGCCCGATGCCCAGTGCTTGTACTGGTAGAGATATGTCATGTGGCATTTGCTCCCAAGTAAGGGTTTGATGTAAGTCACCATCACATGTAAATCTCTGCCACTTCCTTTAAAATTTCAACAGCTGAGTCCTATAATCAGGAACAGATATCCCAATAAAGACATCTCTTCCTCCATATAAACAAAGAGCAGGCATATACTTCCTTGAATAGAAATGAAACAAATCAAAAACTAAATGTTATACTACCAGATGGAAGTACAAATTATAAATTAAACTACCCATTCTAGAAAGCTACAGGTGTTAAGTTCTTAGACTTGGAAGATTCTGCAAATGTATCATGTCACTAACTAAATACAGAAACAGTGAGAGATGTTCAGAAATGGGATCTGATATGCAGAGGGCAAGGAAAAGTGGAGCAGAATCTATTTTTCATACATATTCAAGAGTACAAAAGTACAAAAATGAAAATGGGTAGTACATACATATAAGGCTTTACCACCTCTAGCCAATTCCCTTCACAGCATTTGTTAGGTGTGTGACACTCAGGCCACTGAAAGCAGATACCTGATGGGGAGGGACACTTACTCTTTGGCAAATCCCCAGTGCTGGAGGCTGAAACCGTCCTGCTTCGGTCATGGGACGGACTGCTCTCTTCATGCTCAGTAAGTGGGGATCCCTCGGAAGGTGCAGAGCCACAAGCCACAGGTTCTAAGGGCCCAGAGAACAGTGATGTGGAAAACTCTGGAAACTGTGACTCAGATATTTTATGTCGTCCATTTGGCAATTCCCCATTGAATTGTTCATAGGAGCTGCTATATGTGTAATCGCTTTCTGCATTTGGCTCATCAAGGTTGTATTCCTCAGGATTTGGGCAATCTTCTTCATCATCGTCTTCATCATCCAGCTGCTGTTCCAGTAGGAACGGGCCATTCTCAATATGGCCATTGGTTTTGGGTGATTCAATCCATGTAGGATCTATGTTCTCAAGTTCCTGTTCAACATCTTCGTCTTTCTCAATGTTTTCTTTCTCAGCATCTTCTTTCTCTTCCTGATCCTCAGCTTCACCTTAAAAAGTTGATGAGTTAAGAATTAGGATTTATTACTCTTCTTAACACAGTGGCACGAAGCACTTATCTCCTTCAACAAGAGGTATTTCTGAATGTGCTTAACATTCGTACTACATAGCAAACACAGCCTGGCTCTCAGGATAATGTCCTCAGGTTTTCAAAATCTCATTTTTCATTTGTTAAACAACTGGTCTACTCTTATTAGAAAAAGTTAGTTTGGGAGGGAAATGACTATAGTAGCTCCATTTCCATTTCTACCATCTCCTCTACAATTTTCACAAAAGGTTTCCTGGGTACATTACTACTATTAAGTAAAAGTTTAATTAAAAAATAAAAGGCAATCATTAGCATGACAGGGACATGGAGTTTCTTAGATATTTTCCATTTTTAAAAAAACTTTTGAAATATTAACATATTTCTGGCATACATTTTACAAATGAACTACCAGGCTGTTCTCCATATTCCCAAATAAGGAGTTAAAGAGAATCATCCTCATATCCCAAGCAACAGCACCAAGTCAACCTTGTGATGACCTGGGGGTGGGAGTGGGGTGAGCACCCTATTAATGAAGCCCCTGGGCCCTCTCCACAGCCCCTCCTTAGGATTTCACTGACCACTGTCGCGTGCAGTCTCTCCCTCAGCAGCCTCCTCTAATCCTGCAGTTTTTAGTTTCACCTCTGGGCGGTATTCATCATCTTGCTCATTGGAAGGTACAGCTGATGTGACATTTTCTTCTATTATTTTCCTTTCAGCTTCGCGCTCCAGTTCTTCTATTTCCTGCAGGCGCTTTTCCAGTAACTCAGCCTGCCTTTTCTGTTTCTTTTTCAGTTTTTTCTTTTTGTTTTTAGAAATTTTTCCTATCTACAACATGTTAAGAAAATACCACAGGTCAGATTGCTTATTTTGAAAGCACTACACAATAATATTAAGTGCAGACAGCATGGCAAATGCTGATACAGTCTGTTTTTCGGGTTTATTCAATTAAAATCACATGCGGGGACATGAGATCCACCTGGTAGCCAGGGTTACAATCAAACCAGAAAAAAAGGAACCAGTGTAATATCAAATAATTGGGACTGGGACTGCTACTAGGTCCTGCCCTCACAGGGATATATAGCTTAATTCCACATGAGTCTTTTTCATTCAAACTCTGAGAGTAGCTGAATATGCAGGGATACTCTACCCTTTAAACGAGAAGCACCTCTTGGAGTTTTACATACTGCTGCCTGTATACGAAGTAACAACATCCCCTCTCCTTACTGTCTTAGCAAGCTGTCTGTCCAAAAAGAAATGCCTGATGAAACGTGCATTTTATTCACGGCTGGTCAACAGCACTATTTGTGTTTGGGTCTCACACACTGGGCTGTTATCAACTGCCAAGACTGCATGAATATAAGAAATGAGCATATGAAGGAAAGGGAAAAAAAAGCCATTTCAGTCTGCCTTCAGTCACAGCCATCTGACTCGGGAAGAGCAAGCCTCCAGTTCTCACAGACTCAATGATCAAAAGGAGCTGTTGCAGGCACAGGAGAACCGTGGGAAATGGCTTGGCAAGTCGCAGCCCTAGTTGAGCAGGGGGGGCATCACTATTATAGCTCCCTCTTGTACTGGGACTTCCATTCCAAACTAAGGGCTGCTGGCAGCACTTGGAATTTTTGTACATTTCCTTTCAAATAATTTTGGTTCATAAAGCTCTTTTAAAAATTTGTAGGTGACCCATCAACTCAAGATATTCTATCCTCTTCTGGAACCAAGCCGAGTTTGGGTCTTTTGCAGTAGGATTTAATTCCAAGCAGCCTGCTTCGTTTAACTGGACTTACTGTTTTCACAGGACCAAAACATAGACAATGCTCTTTCATGCAGCTACTGGATGGAAAAAGACTAGAACAGCTTCAGAAATGCAGGTCATTGGGAAGCCAATGAGAAATAAGGTAAAGTGTTTCCAGAATAATCACACTTCAAACTCTACCTCTATTATCTCGCATCTCACCAGGCCTAGCCAAAAGTGCTCCAGAAAAGTATGTAAGGAAAATGTAAGTCCAACTTGGACAACTCCACTTGGAACACTAAAGACCAGTTCAACTTACCAAAACAGTGTGTCTCACACACTCAAGGATACACATCATTTGCAAACATACTTGTCTTTTACATTAATATACACTAAGATATCTGTGATTGAAAAAGGGACCAAAAAAAAAACAAACACCTACAACCAATTCCCCCAAACAACCCTTCAATGAAAAATTGTTACAGAAAGAAACAAACTATGTCAAAATTTGAAAAGTTCAATAATAAATAGGTGCTTTAAGTGTTAAGTACTTACAGGTTTCTGCTGTGGAGCGGTACTCACTAAAACAAAGTAAGACAAAATGACTGTTTAGAGGAAAATTGATACATATCTTTATGTAGGTAATTTGAATTGTAAGATGAAATAATTACAGTCTTTTAATGGCTATACAACTTCTATAACTGTTAAATACGAGAGCTTCTGATTCAAAGAGACTTGAAGTATGTTAATCCAATTCAAAGAAATGACTGGTTCTTTAAAAGCATAGCAGTAATTGTTCAATATAGACCATTTCTCTTATTTTTCTAAAATTAAATAACCATTGATTTCAAAAACAGCTATCCCAAAGCCCTGACTAATCATTTAAGAAAATGGAGAAGAGAACTCTTTGAATGAAATTTGTTTTATAAATAACGAAATAAACAATTTAGATGTACATCTATGTTTGAAAACTATTTAGCAAGTTTGTACAACTAAAGTAAATGAAATTCTGCAGTAAATATCCCAGAAATCAAATGACCAGACCATGCCAACCTCAAAAACTTGACAGACTATATGGTTCCATGATCTGAAAAAAACACCCTGATGGTAGCAAAGAAGATTCAGAGGTGCTGCATCTCCCAAGAGCAAAGGCAGTCACAGGGCTGTGGCCTTTAGCCTACACTCCTGCCTGACAACACGCTAGCACACACATGCCATGAAGAGAGGGTGCGAGCACAGTCTACAGTTCACTGCCATCATTACAGTAAGTGACAATCAGAAATAAAACTCCATATGCCAATACTGAAGGCACTTGGTCTTTTCCCACCCTGGGATCTTCTGTGACTGAGTCCAAATCCACCAGGTAGACTCTGACTGATGTTGCTATTCTAATTGGAGACTAGCAAGCATTCTAACAAACCTGAAGCCAGAAAAAAATCTGATGACTACAAGTTGGGTACACGAAACCTACTACTATATATATACTCTTCTGCAGAGAAGTGGGCAACAAACAAAAATGTTCAAGTGTAGATGAAGCAGCAGGTAAGGATTTAAGTGACCTTTTAAGGGAGAACAAAGTTAATTCAAATATTAAAGTATATGAGGTGGGACCCTAAAAAATGGAATTTATTTATTAGAAATTGTGTATTTATTCTTACACATTTAAATTTCAGTCACCTTCAAAGTACTCTCCATTTGATGCAATACACATACCAAGATGTTTTTTCCACTGCTCAAAATAGGTTTTTGAACTTATTGATTCTGATACCTTTTAGTGTTTCTGCCAGTTTTTGTTTCGCCTCTTCCACATCAGCAAAACAGTTACTTTTGAGGGACTTTTTCATCCAGGGAAACAAAAAAAATGCTCAGGCCAAGACTGGGTGAATCTGGGGCAATGGGGCAGGGTGGTTTGGAAATGCTGTTTTGGTCAAAGGCTGTTGAACACTCAGCTTGGTGTGATCAAGTGCACTGGTAAATCACCCATCATGAAATGAGTAACCGCGTTGAAAGTCTTCAGAAAATATTCACTGAGGCCGGACGGAGCCTCTCACAATAAAGCCAGCTGGTACACTGATACAGATGGGTTTCTATGACACTCACCTAGCGGGGAAGCCTGTATTATAAGGGCCTGTCCTCCAGAAGACAATTCTGGCTTTTTTGGGTCTCCCTTATAATTTAATTGAGATATCTTCCTTCTCAAGAAAAAAAGTCTAGCTATTTCTATCAATCAGGCTTTTACAAAAATTCCTGGTATGTACACATTTGCCTACAGTGCCTTCAGCGTACAATTTTGCAGGCTCTCAAATGTCTTCAACAGCCTGAAACAAAGCTGGCTTGGCTTCCTCACCTGCAGACCCAGAAGGAGGAGGAGCTCCGGCTTTCTGCCACTCAGTGGCCTCGGCTGCCATTCTTCTCACATATGCATCATCCACACACATCAAGATGTTTTCCGGCTTTATGTCAGTATGAATGATCTTGCACTTACTGTGTAGATAATCTAACCCCTGAAGTACCTGATGACAGTAAAATCAAGAGAGGAGATGAGTTATTTATACCTTTATTACTCAACGTTAATTTGTAGAATAGGTAATATTTGTCACAAGGAACAAAATTTAACAGAAAAGGATATTTAGTAAAAATACCCCCCACCCCCAGCTCTTTCCCACTAGTGACCACTGTGTATCATTCTGGAGATAACTTATGTTCAGAGTAACAAATGCATCTCTATATACATCTCTATGTACACTTTTTAAATAATGTTATTGAGATGTTAAATTACATACCATACGATTCACCCTTTTAAGTGTACTACTCAGTGGTATTTAGATGTACAATCAACACTTCCGTCACCCAAAACAGAAACACTGTACTCACTGGCAGTCACTCTCCATCCCCTCCAAACCCCCACAGCCTGGGCAACCACTAATGCACTTTTTCTCTTATTCCAAACATTTTACATAAATGAAATGATATCAAGTGGTCTTTTGTAACTGGTATAATATTTTCAAGGTTCATCCATATGTAGGATGTATCAATACTTCATCATTTCTTTTAATTGCCAAGTAATGTTCCACTGGATATACCAACTTGTGTCTAGCCATTCACTTGAAGGACATTTGGGGTTTTTCCACTTTTGGACTATTATAAATAGTATTGCCATGAACATTCACATACAAGTTTGTGTTGATACATGCTTTTATTTTTCTTCGGCATATACCTAGAAATGCAATTGTTGGGTCACAGAGTAACTCTCCACTTAGCAATTCAATGAATCGCAGAACTGTTTTATGTAGTGGCTATACCACTTTACATTCCCAGCAGCCATGTCTGAGGGTCCCGATGTCTTCATCACGGCCAACACCTGTTCTTTTTTTTTTATTTCAGTGACTACAGTGAGTAAGAAGGGTGTACCTCATTAATCTGCATTTCTATGATAGCTAATGATATGCATACATTTTTAATATTGTAGGAGAGGAGGTCCAAGTTTTCCTGGACTTACATATCCATTCAAGATGATTTTTTTTCAATTCTTTCCATAAACCATTATATTTAAAATAACGATCACGAGTGAAGGGGGAGACTTCTGGCAAGATGGAGGAATAGGTGGACGCACCGTACCTCCTCGCACAACCAAGAATAGAACAACAATAATTTACAGACAGAATATTACTCAGAACTGATAGATGATTTGTCTGAATGGAAGTCAGACAGCCAAGAAGTAGACCTGTACATCCAGACTGGTAGGGGACGATGAGCCCGGCGGGCGCAGGGCTGGCGCAGGTTGGCGGCACGCGGAGGTCGGGGAAAATCTGGCGCAAAATCGGCGCAACAGCCATCTGGGGCGCAAGAACGCAGCGGTGATCCCTGAGTGCGCAAGCTGCGGCTGGGGGACCCAGTGAGGTAGCGATTGTGGACCAGGGCAGAGCTCACAACCCAGGATCGCACAGAAGGGCTCAGCCCAGGAGAACGGAACTACCGCCATTGTCCCCTCCCATCCCTGCTCCGGCCCCCATATACAAAGTCACAATCTAGTGACTGGGGTGCCCAGCCCCGGTGAACATCTAAGGCTCCGCCCCCCCCACCGTAACAACAGCGACCAGACGGAAAAAAAAAAAAAAAAAGGATAGACAGGGAAAGACATAAGACATATTTCCAACAGAACAGATCAGTCCCCCAGGACTCATCCTTTTGAGCGACCAAGAAATAGCCAATCTATCAGATGCACAGTTCAAAACACTGGTGATCAGAAAGCTCACGGAATTGGTTGACTTTGGGTGCAATTTAGATGAAAGGATGCAGGTTACCATAAAAGAGATGCAGGAAGATACGCGGAGGAGAGCCAATAGTGAAAGGAAGGAATCTGAGTCTCAAAACAATACAGTGGACCAGAAGGAAGATAGAATCAACCAAGCAGGAAAGCATGATGAAATAAGAATTCAAAAAATCGAGGAAAAGCTTAAGAGCATCCAGGACACCTTTAAACGTTCCAACATCCGAATTATAGGGGTACCAGAAGGGGAGGAGCAATAAGTGGAAAAGTTATTTGAACAAATAATGATTTTTTTCAATTCTTTCCATAAACCATTATATTTAAAATAACGATCACAAGTGAAGGGGGAGACTTAGCAAAAGGAGAACTTCCCCAATCTGGCAAAGGGAACAGCCTTCCAAGAAATCCAAGAAGCTCAGAGAGCCCCAAAGAAGTTGGACCCAAGAAGAAACACACCAAGGCACATCATAATTACATTAGTCAAGGTAAAAACGAAGGAGAGAATCCTAGAAGCAGCAAGAGATAAGGGGACAGTAACCTACAAAGGAGTTCCCATCAGACTGTCAGCTGATTTCTCAAAAGAGACCTTACAGGCAAGAAGGGGCTGGAAAGAAATATTCCAAGTCATGAAAGACAAGGACCTACATCCCAAATTGCTCTATCCAGCAAAGCTCTCATTTAGAATGGAAGGGAAGATAAAGTGCTTTTCAGATAAGGTCAAATTAAAGGAGTTCATAACCACCAAGCCCTTATTTTATGAAATGCTAAAGGGACTTATCTAAGAAAAGAAGATAAAAAAAAACATGTATAGTAAAAGGACAGCAAACTCACAATTATTAACAACCACACCTAAAGTAAAACCAAAAGAAACTAAGTAAACAACTAGAACAGGAACAGAACCACAGAAATGGAGGGCACATGGAGGGCTAGCAGCAGGGGGGGTGGGAGGAGGAGAGGGGGGAAAAGGTATAGAGAATAAGTAGCATAGAATGTAGGCTGAAAATAGATAGGGGGAGGGCAAGAATAGTACGGGAACTGTAGAAGCTAAAGAACTCATAAGTATGACACATGGACATGAACTAAAGGGGGGAACGTGGGTGGGAGAGGGGGTACAGGGTGGAGGGGAGAGAAGGGGGAAATGGGACAACTGTAATAGCATAATCAATAAAATATATTTTAAAAATACCTAAAAAAATAAATAAAATAAAATAAAATAACGATCACAATAAAAAATAAAGAAAATAAAAATATAGATCATGTTCCTATGCATTAGAAATTGCAAATGCTCAATAAATATTGACATTTAATAAATATCATTCAAACATTTTAAGTCATACAGGGGTCTTGTCCACAATAGACAAGAAAGGGGGGAAAAGAGAAGCCAAAGATCAAATAACACGGCACTAGAAAGTGAGAGTTCAGAGGTTTCAAAAGGAAAATGGAAAAAGAAAGACCTGTCTCTCAAACAGGATGAAAATCCTTCAACTAATCTTTTTTCCCTCCTTGTCTAGCCCCACACTGTACTATCTGTTTGATACATAGCAATAAACAGAGTTCCCTGTCTTCATGGGGCTGATAGTCAATGCGTTATCACAGAGCTTACCATTTCATGCCAGGGGGATAGAAGGGACTGGCAAACAAAAAACAAAAACAAAACAAAAAAACAAGCTGAATCATAGGCACAGCAAACACAATATAATATGTGGATGAGTTCTGAATAAGCAGTGCCAGTAAATGTCAACGCTTTTCTTAAAGTATCTTTTCACCACTATCCCATCCTTCAAGTAGCCTTTATTTTTCCATTTTAGGATTTTCGCAGTTCTTGAGTTATTTTACCATGTGGGAAGCTGCACAGGTAAGAGTTCATGTGATTCACTATCCAAATGTGTTCATGGGCATTCTTTATGACAGTGAGGCACTCCAGAGGAGCAAAGTGTTCTCAGCAAGAATTTAAGATTCCAGATTTTAAAAATATTGCTATTGCATTCAACTGGACAAACTTCCCTTAAGAAGCATAGCTTATAGCACCTGACTGTAAAAACAAGCAAAAGAGTTCACCACTGAACAAATTAAGTTAATTAAGATAATGCAAATCATTAAAGGAAAGAAAACCATTAAGAGACATAGCATTAAAATACAACCTTGGTAGTCACACTGTTCCAAAACTGCTGCTCAATCATTCATTCACTGTGCAAGTTACTGCTAAGCTCATTCATTTACTGGGCAAGGTCTTTAAGCTATCTGACCTTCCATTTTCATGTCTATAAAATGGAGGGGACATATCTATTAGAAATAATCTGTGGGACACACAAAAACAAGGTATATCTTAGAGGAAGCTCAAAATAAGTGGTACAACTAAAGTAAGTCAGAAGACTTGTACTGACATTGACTAAATAACTATAACTCTGCTAAGTCACTTATTAAACTTCTCTAGTCTCATTTCTCCCATCTCTAATATGAACGGGCTCTGCTTGGTAACTTCCATGGTAGTAAAATTCCATAATCTGATTCCATAATTTCTTTTAATTCTATTTATTATACTATTTTAAAAAATCTTTAGCTATAAGCTAAGAAGAATGGCTTTATTTTTTAAAATGTCATTTCTGTTATCAGCCAGTGAAGTTAAAAGCACTAAAGCAGCCCAGAATCCTGAATCCAGCAATGAATAATCTTATAACCACTTACGCAGATTATGATGATGCAAAAAAAATTAAAATCAATGAATCAGGCTTCATGCTCAAGCATAGATTTCCTCTTGCAAATTATGAAAAACAGTTAAAGGAGCCTTACTTCATTTGTCAAATCATAGTTTTTCTTTCTTGCCTAAAACATACATACTTGGCCTCGGCAGCAGGAGGCAGCAGAGGCTGCAGAGATCCTTGAAAACTGAGACCAATCTAATCACAGATGGGCCAGAAACAGAGCTACATCCGCTTCAGAGAGTTAACACCCTCCTAGGGCGTGGGCCAGTTTTCTCCATGGAAGTCAGGCCTGCAGGGCAGCAGCCACGCAGAAGTGAAAGCAGAGCCCAGGGCTGGGAGCAAGAGAGGCCCAGTCCTTGGTCAGGAATTAACTAGCCAAGGTTGACAGCAAATTCCTTCTCTCAAGTTCAGCAGTAAAATAAGCAGTTTGGTCAAGACAGCCTCTAAGGTTTTTTTCTATACACTTAAGAACTGTACCAGAGATCATCTATTGCTGGTGTTAGCAACACAGATCTACTCTTTTCCACCACAGCTTGCTGGA